CTTGACCCCCTTTATCCTGTAAAGGCTTTGTAACTACTGTTGGAGAAACATTGGCTGTGATGATTTTGGAGGTTATTTCATACTCTGACATTCTGTTATTTATAATTGTGTTTGTTTTGGGCAGATGGATTTTGAATATCTGTAAGAAAAAAAAAATGATCTGGGGATATGGTGTTAAGGGGGAAGTGGTATTGTTATCTGTGTTAATTTTCATCGACCAAGCCGTCATTTAAATCCTGCAAGGCGCCCTCATCAGAAAATGAGTCCCACAAGTAATTTAAGGCCATTATAATTTGGCACATCACGTTTTGAAGGACTACCTTTCAGCCTCAGAGTTAATAAGCTCTCCAGCAGACTCATGGCTAGGTTATCAGTTTTTCCAGGCAGATTCTGATGAGAGGACGAATAAGGCGCGAGAAGGACTTTGGAGGCTGAGCAGGTTTTCTGTGGGGTGCTGAGTGGGCAGCACGGATTAGCCAAGAGACCTGCCCATGTTGGTGAAATGGGACAAGACCCCGTGGGTCATTTGGTGATCCAGTGGTTCAAAGGCCAGGCAAAGTGATTGGTACTTTGGGTAAACCAGGGATAAGACTCAGATGTACCTCTGAGAGAGGCACAGGTGGGTCCTTGGTTCTGGGTGAATCATTTCACCTCTCTGGGGCTCAACTTCCTTACCTGTACGGAGAAGGAGCTTATACTGGAGGAACTCCCAGTTTCTTCCCAGCTCTGAATATGTGTGATGTTTTCAGTTAAGTGTTGACTTTAACTGATGATCTTTTCAGGTCAAAATTTGTGCCGTATTTCTGCCATTTGTCCTAGCTTTTCACATTAACTTTTTTCCCAAGCAGCAAGTGCTTTAGGAATATTAATAAATGAAGTGCAGCTATGTGTTATGTAGAATCATTGAGGCTAACAAGAAAGCAAGCCTGCTTGGAAGCAGTGTCAGTGCTGGTCCCCCCAACACATTGGAGCACATGCACTGGGGTCATGTAGCATTTGAAAAACCCCTCTCCTCCCAGGCAGTTCTCATCCAGAAAAGAATCATTGATCTAGCCCATAGTATTACTTTACAGAAGAGGAACCTGAAGCCTCAGGGAGGAAAGTGGCTGAATGCCTTTGACGGTCCATTTCAGCCGTGGGAGCCCATGCTCATTTCTGGACATATAGGATGCTAGTCAAAGGTGATACTTGTAGGTAAAGAACTCTGAGAGGGAGGAATGGGACTGCTTTATGGGCACAGAGTAAGCACCACATGTGGCAGATGGGAACTGTGTACATTCCGGTCTGGATCTGCTGCCTTCCGGCTCCTTATGCTCATGGATTATCTGTTGTGAAGCTGTCCATTCTCATTCTGCTCCCTTCACTTGGGAAATCCTCTCAAACTAATGACACAGCAGCAGCCTGGTCATGGAGGAGGGAACAGATGGAAGAGTGGAGGTGTTTTTTTGTGTGCGTGTGTTTTTTTAAACCCTGATCATTTGGTCATTAGCAGGTGTAATGATCACTTTGAGCAACAGTTTTGGGGCTGTAATTGTCATCTCCACTTAGTGGTTCTGAGTGTATGATACAGCTGGGGGAGCGGCCAAGGAAGAAATGGGGTTCTGGAGTGCTGGGGGACATTGGGTTTGGCTTGTTTTCCCTCTGGGCAGGTGTGGGGAGTGGGCATGATGGTGGGCTTGCCCTCTACACCCCTCCTGAACCTATCTCCCCTGTGTCTTCCCCAGCCCCAGGATGAACACCTAAACAACTTCTGCCAACTGCTAGGGGTGGAGCACAGTCAGATGATGCACTGGCTGTGCCACTGCAAGCTGGTCACCACCTCTGAGACCTATGTCAAGACCATGTCCCTGCAGCAGGTGGTCAATGCACGCAACGCCCTGGCCAAGCACATCTACGCCCAGCTGTTTGCCTGGATTGTGGAGCACATCAACAAGGCCCTGCACACCTCCCACAAGCAACACTCCTTCATCGGAGTCCTGGACATCTATGGGTAGGCTTGCTGCCCCACTCTCCCGGCCTTCCACTCTCCTAGCCTTCCACCCTCCTGTTGATCATTAGTGTCTTCCTGCTGGCATTTTAGAGCCAGCAAGGGCCTTGGAGATGTTCCTGGTGGTTCTCAAGCAGGAGTGAAATCACCTCTGTAGGGAAGTTTTAAATGTGTGGAGACATTTTTGGATTGTCACAATGACTGGGGTCACTACTGGCATCCTGTGACCTGAGGCCCTGGGTGCTAGGTGTTCTACAATATGGAGGACAGTCCCAAGGAAGAATAACTAGTTGTCATCAGGTCATCTCTGACTCATGGTGACCTCATGTGTGTAAATTAGAACTGTGCTCCATAGGGATTTCAATGGCTGATTTTTCACAAGTAGATTGCCAGGCCTTTCTTCTGAGGCACCTGTCAGTGGACTTGAACCTCCAACCTTTTGGTTAGCAGCCAAGCCTGTTAACCATTAGCACTTTCCAGTCAAAATGCCAGTAGTTCCCCCATTGAAAATACTCTGTAGGCATTCATTTTTACAAGTGGGAAACTGAGGCCCAGAGAGGGGAGTGATTCCCCAACAGCATACTGAAAGTTACTAGAGAAATAGAACTTAAATTCAGGTTTTGTATCTCCCACTTATGTTTTATTTCAGTCTATCATGAGACTTAATTGACTTTATCATTGGTCAAGGTGGTTATTTTAATGCTGTGATTTTGCACAGTGCTGTATAGATTTGTGCTGTGTGTAGTCATTCTTGAGGTTTCTCTTCCTTCTAGAATTCCAGCCTGATCGAAAGGATGGTTATTTATAACAGCATAGTATTTCAGGGGAAAGCAATTTGGCATGGTAGAAAGTGTACTCGAACCCAGGAAATTGGGTTTTTGTCTCAGTGCTGTCACCAGCTATCTGAATGGCTCTGTGCAAATCCCAGCCCCTTTCTGGGCTTTGCTTTCCATAGCTTGAAACAGAAATTTTGAGCCAGAGTCTCTGTGAGGTACTTTCCAGATCATTCTAGAATTGTTTGAAATTACATGAACTGGGTTGTAACCTCCCTTGCACTTTTTTTTTCTGACCGATGTCCTGTCCTCTTTAAGCTAATAATAGATTAAATCCTCCTGGATCTTTAAATTATAGAAGTCATGGCTTCTGTCTTAAAATAGAATTTCAGACCCATGAAAGTGCAGAGTCAAAAGAATGGTGCTGCTCTTAGTGAAAGCACTGCTAAGTGGGCTGACACTCAGCCGGGACTCGCCTTATGCTGCAGCCATAAAGCCAGACCAAACCTGTGGCCATCAAGTCGATTCCGACTCTTAGCGACCCTATGGGACAGAGTAGAACTGCCCCACAGGGTTTCTAAAGCTGTAATCTTTACGGAAGCAGACTGCCACGACAGTCTCCTGTGGAGCGGCTGTTGAGTTTGAACTGCCGACCTTTCCGTTAGCAGCTGAGCGCTTAATCATTGCGCCACCAGGGCTTCTTATGCTGAGTCTGTAGTAAAGTGAAATCCCCTCTAGAAGCAGCCACTTCCACATGCAAAGATACACTGTCCTAATTATAACTCTGATGCTGCAGCTGATCATTGGATTTCAAACCAAACTATGTCCCATGCTATGGAGGCAGTAGAAGAAGAATGAAACTTGATTTCTTGCATCAAAAAGGTCTCAGGAACATGCTAAACAGTTCTAAATCACATGGATGAGTTAAGTAATAGAGGAGGCAATAGAAGAAATTGTAGAAGGGTCAATCTGAAGATTCTGACACTCAGCTTTGTAAACGTTTCCAGGTAGGAGAGAGCACACTTGTTTGCAGAGTCAGGGAAAGCTTTATGAAGGAGGTGTGATTTGAATTGGATCTTTTAAGGAGGGGGTAGAATTTTAAGGAGTCCCTGAGGGGCGCAGACAGTTAAACATTCAGCTGCTAACTGAAAGATTGGTGGTTGACATCCATCCAGAGGCATGTTGGAAGAAAGGCCTGGCGATCTTCTTCCGAAAGATGACAGCCATTGAAAACACTATGAGGCTCAGTTCTTCAGTTCTACTCTGAAACACATGGGGTCACCAGGAGTTGGAATCGACTCAACAGCAATTGATTTGGGTTTTCTTTCCTTTCTTTTTTTTTTTTTTTTTGGAGAGTATGAAAGGTGGGGTCACCTTTGCGAACAGGGGCACAATCAAGATAGTAGGAAAAAGCAAAGAGGAAACCTTGTAGCCCATGAGGAGCAAACAGTGGCGAATCACCCTAGACTGGGAAGCAGGAGACACCTCCTCTCCAGGGTTCTTCAGCATTGTGGTGGAATGATGCTGGGCGGGCCACTTCTCCTCTGGCCTATTGAGGGCCTACTTTGTTCTCAGCGCTTCAAGTTGTTTTGGGAGAACATAGAATCGTCTGTGCTCTCTGGGAATTCACTGTCTAGTTGTCAGTGATTAATTCTGTGCTTTTCTTCCCCCTACCGTGAGTATTTTCAGGTAACTGGGTTTCCAAAAGTACTGGCGTTTAGTGCTTCCTTCTGAAGTACGACCTAGAGAAACCCAGGCTGTGGCACCTGGCTTGATTCCCCTAGTCTACCCATGCAAGATACTAAGTTTACTGAGGTTTTGATTTGGGAAAATGAATGTGCAGGCTCTTGTTAATAATATGTAAAAATATTATGACTTCAATGGTAATGATATGTAAAATACCATGCCTCCGTTCTAGTCTGTTCGTATCTTTTCTTAGCAATGCCTTGCATTTAAACAGACTGGCACCTCCCCTCCCAGGGATCCCCAGGCACAGTCTGTGCCTTGATGGGAGATCTCTGTGAGTTGGGCTCCCAGTGCTGCTGAGTCTGCAGATGTCAGCTGGGCCCGTGGAAACTGGGATTTTGTGCTTATATTTGCCATTTAATTTTTATAATTGAGTTTGTTTTCTCTGAGGCCCTGTAGGTAAGGTTTATCTGTGGTTTGAAAGGTGCAGTTGTCAGTGGATGGGGCAGGAATCCCTATGACTTAGTCTCCTGTTTCTAGAACTCCTGACCTGTGTGTCATCCTCATCTTGGAGTGACCTGTGGGTTTCTTAGAGAACATCTGACAGCTTTTCAGTGAGAGCAGGATCCATTTGGATAAAATGCACTTATGGCTCCTCCTTGCAAGGGCCCCATTCCTGGACTACTTATGAGCACACTGGGGAATTTTTCCTACCCTTTGTACTTCCTGCCGGGCATGCTGTGCTCTTTTTTTTCCCCCTCTCTCTTTTTTCAATCCTTGTTCTTTGTCAGGAGCTAATTTACTTTTTAAAACCCTGTCATAACGTAGTCATATGTAAAAAGTGATTCACTGTCCCCCTGGAAAGGAATAATGCCTAGTGCACAATTACTGTTCTATATGCCCAATGCAGTGCTGAGTTCACACCCTACAGGCAGAGACAGAGATAGCAAGTTAGATACAAGGTAGGTTTCCTAGCTAGCTAACAATTTACCTGGTGAATAAACTCTGGCCAAGCCACTGTGGGCCACTGGCTGCCAAGAAAGCTCTTTGATACCTTCCCTAAACGTGTCTATGCACACTCTTCAACTCTTCCGGTTTGCCCAGAACTTATTGTATGAATTTGCACTGGTCCAGGCTCTCTTTCTAGTCAGGGCTGTGTAATGAACTCTTAGGAGATTAAAACCAACAATTTTACCATAGGAGAGCAGGTGGCTTGAGTTGGGATATGCTATTTCTGATCAATCAGGTTAATGACATTTCTTAATCTGGGAGAAGATGACAAAGAACATGTAGTGTAACCTGGGGTAACTTGGGTGAGCTATTTACTCTCAGCTTCCTTTCTCCACTCGTGGTGTTTGACCCACCTTGGTCTCCCTTGGACTTCAGATACCTTCGAGAAACCCACTGAATCTGTCTTGGTTGTTTTGTTTGTTTTTTTAATACGGTCATCCCTTAATTATCTGGAAGTGGGCATCACACTTGGGATGCCACCTCTTCTACTGTCTCAAACTACCTCCCTCCCAATTCAAACTAATTCCAGTCTTTTGGCTTTATTCATTACTATGAGAAGTGATTCTATAATAGAGCATTTCATCGTCCATGGCATCAGAACACCCAAGCTTTTTTTTTTTTTTCTTTTTTTGAGTTTTTTGTCCATATCCCTGACCACCCAACACTGTAGAGGGAGAAGACCATCTATCCATTGTCTCACTCATTCTTTCTCAGCTGAGAGTATGGGGATGCCTTGGTGCACATAGAGGATGCCTTTGGGGTGACACTATGTCTTTGATTTCCTTACTCTTCCTCATCCCTTGGACCAGAAGAGTGGCATGTGGAAGGTGGAGAGAATAGGAAGGACAGGTAGGGATGTGTTTTGAATACAGTGAACTCTTATTTATTAAAAGAAGGCAAGAATAAGGAGATTTATTCCACTGTGAATTCGGTTGGAAATGTGCAAAGCTAGGAAATAAAAGTTACTCTTCCTCCCTTCACCCCTGACAAGTAGGCACTAATTTCTTCGATTGGAGTTATTGTCCCTAGATGAACTGCAGCGCCTGTCTAGGACGTTATTTGCCCACCAGTCAAGCTTATTGTAGATTCAGAACTGAGAAGAGTTCCATGCTGCAGATGAACCACTCCAGCTTTTTCTATGAATGTTTAAAATGCTACTACAGAGTCAGCATCCAGAGTGAATAAACAATCACTCTATATATAAGCAAGCACCATACACACGGCTCCCCTTGTCATGGTGTTCCAACTAGTAGGTAGTTCATCGAGTGGAAGAGGCTGTGATATCCTAAGAAAATTGGCACGGGCCACAGTTGCCTCCACCAAACTTGAGTGAGTCTGCTGCTCAGAGGCCCTTTCCCCAGGCTTTCCTGCTCCTCCCCTCCCCAATCCCTGGCACTTTTCCAGACCCCCAGTGCCTGGTATAAGGATGGCTTCCCTACACCCGGCTCCCCTGCCCCATTCCCACAAAAGTGCAAAGCAGGCAACACCCAGAGAAATTTTGCCAACCCAAGCCAAATGCTTCTCCTTAACTAC